CCAGTAAAATCTTATTTTTTTATAGTTCTATTTTCTTCCAGTAGGTGGCACTGCAGTTCACGTAAAACACTCCTGAGTTAGTTCTCTGACCCACCGGGTACCAGTCAAAACTCTGCTCATAAAGGTCAGAGATATGAGGTGACTTGCTTGAGGTCACATAGCAAGTTATGGAATAAACTGTAGAGCCCAAGACTTCTAACGTCAAGTTCCATGCTTTCTTTATTTGTGTTTTCACTCCTGATATTCTAAGATTTGCTCATATCAAAACAAGTCCCTATTTATGGTATTCAGGACGTAAAATATCACAAATTACAGGAAAGAGAATAGGCTAACAGACAGAGAGTGCTCTCCCTGTAGGCCAACAAAGAGAGTTAATATCAATCTTTTATCAAATTTCCAAATTAAAACTGCTTTTAAAATGTCCCCAGAGGAAAAAGGAAAAATATTTATTCAATGAGAATGACACCTGACTATAAAGCAAGGACATAGAGTGACGTACAAACATACCCGCATATTTCCTTTTTCACTGTAGTATCTATCAGAGTTTAACCTATAAGCTCATTTTCATTAAAAATTAACTTTTCCCAAGCACTAGTAGATATCACCACATATGCTACTGCATAGCGTAGCATTTTCTGAGGGGCTTAGCCCCTATGAAGCTTGCCTCTAACAACAATATTTTTTAATATTCACTTTTAGCAAGGCCCAGAGCTGCTTTGCCTGGTGAAAAAGATTGTTTACTTGACCTGCACACACACAGACAAATATATATATATATATATGTATGTATGTATGCATGCATATATATATATATACACACACACATACATATACATACACATATACCTGTACTTCCTTCCTTCAATCCAATCATCTGTAACAACAGGACAAATAGAAATGCCCAAAGTTTTCATGCTGCCACTCAGCTATCTTCGACATAAGTGAAGGATCATAAAGGCAAGATGACAGACATTGGGTGACTTTTGGTCACTAAAGAGGCAATATTACTAAGCTCTGATACCAAAAGATTGGTAGGCCTGTACAGATAGCTCCTGATTCAGGATAACAAGTTTTTAGTTTGCCCTTGAGCATAAGTCTATTACCATCTCCAACTTTATTGTGTTCCTTAATCTGAATAAGCTCTCCAATGAAAAATCAATGTACAAACAAGTGTATTCTAAGATAATGCTGTGTGTTACATTCTCAAAAATGGGACTTTCTGAGCATACCTCTGTATGTGCTGCATAAGAACAAAGGGGAACTTTCTAAAGAACGTCCCCAAGAAAACATTTTGAGAAGCACAATTTTTCTGAAAAGTTAAATGAAGCATAAGTTTCTAAATATTTATTTCAGGCTCATATCGACGTTATTCTTGAAAGGAAATATATATAAGTAACACCATTGAAATATACAATACAAAGAATATTTAGGCAAATTAAGAAGAAATGGCCTCAAAACATTAAAAATATTATATTAGAGAGCCCCTTCATAATGACATAATGAACTTTGATTTATTAATTGGTAAGAAAACTTGATGCCCTTAATTAAATTATGTAATTTAATTTACATAATTTAATTAAAATACTCTTCCATTGTATACTCTTCCACTAAATCCCTGTATCATTTTGTTGAAAACTGTCTTATTCCATTTATGGTAACAAAGCCAGGAAGAAATTTAAGTTATCTATACCATGGCTCTGCATTTTAGGTAGCTAACATTTTTCAGAAATAGAATTATTTTTCTATAATTACATTTTTGTTTTTGTTATTGTTAAACATCGAATTTTTTTTTTTAAACAATGGGCCAGCAATTGCTGCAACCTTCAAAATATCCCAAATCACACTCAAGATAGCCTGAACTGCCCTCTGAAATATTTGGAATCACTCCTAGATATCCAGAATCATACTCCTGAAACATTCAGAATTGCACAATCACTTTTAATCATAAAGAATTAATATAAAAAAATTAGTCATAGTGTTTTCAACTTGAGTCATCCTTGAGTGATAAAACTATTAGAACAAATTCTAAAATCAAACTCCCTCATAAAAATACTGATATAAAACAAATTCTACTCTCAGAAAAGTTTTTCAGCCCCAAAGAAAATTTAAAAAGCAATCAGAATTTGGGGCATTCTTGCCTTGCTGTCTATCTGAGAAAATATCTTTATTTAAGAGATTCTGGGAAAGCTACTGAGGTCCATCCAAATGCCTCTTCAAGACACAGTATTTGTTACCTCAATCAGCACATAAGAAGACAACATCTGAATTTACTAAATGTCTACTACACTGCAAGAAACTGTAAAAAAAAAGAAGAAGAAGAAGAAAAAGAAAGAAAAAAGAAACTATGATAAGGACTAAGAGGAAAAGTCATGACTAAGAAGAAAAGTCATCCTGCATGGATGTTTTGGTTTGTTTAAGAAGATAAGACACACATACAAATTACAGCCTGAGATAATGTATAATAACCATCAATGGTATCAAGTGTCAGAAGAGTTTGGAAGTTAGAGGTAAACAGTTCTTTCTAGGGAGACCAGGGAGCGTTTATATAAGAAGTGTCACTTGAGCTATATTAACTGGATAAATGTGGCTGGTATGGTACTCAAGATGGAAAGGCTTTTTTAAAAAATGTGAGAGTGGAAAAAGCAGAGTATCTGTAGATGAAAAGAGTCGTGTGGCTAAAGCTGAAGCTATTCAGAGGGGAGTAAGTGAAGGAAAGCCTGCCTAACTTCAGAGAAGAAGTTAGGCAGGGCACCTCATGTCCAGGCTTAGTAGCTTGGACTTCCTCACTTTGGTGTTGAATTGCCATTCCTGCAGTCTTTTATCATAGGGAGTGCCACAAACAGAGGGGTGTTTTAGTCAGATTACCCTGAGGGTGGAGAATGAATGGAGAGAGCCCAGGGTTAAGAAAAACAGTTCTCAATAGAAAATGAAGGAGGCCATTATGTGCCAGGCACTGATAGTATTTCATTTAATCCCCAAAACAATTCAGTTATAAAACATTTTTATAGATAAGAAAACTGAAGCAATTCAACAATAGTTGGCAGCCCAGAAACAAAAAGCTGACTGGTGGAAAATTACTCCGGTTTAGGAACCTGGAAGGTAAACAGGCTAGAAGGTCAAATGGGTGCAGAAAATCTAGGGTCCTTGTAAGTACAAATGTAGAAATGACCGATGAAGAATTCAAGTCAAATATGAAAAAAACATGCAGCAATTGGAAGAGACATCAATTAGACTTAAGGAGGACGAAGAACAACTCCAATTTAAAAAGTGGATAAGCTAGATTAAAAAAAACTGTGTGTAAGTGGAAACCCTAAGATCTCAGTTTTGAAACAGTTTCAAACTAATAAGATACCACTGTCCACTTGGACAGGGGAAGTAGACTATGGACACAGTTTTCCAGAGTTAAGGAAACAGGAGGAAGTTAGCTTGGTGTAGCAGGTGGGAAAATCTGAAGCAATTACTATGGGTTACAGGATAGAGAGGAAACCTGTATTCTAATACTGAAGTCATTGAGGTTAAAAAAAAAAAAATCTAAAGAACCCAGAGGGCTTAATAGTAGAAAAGATGGCAATATAAACAGGTGACTGGTACATTCAAGAAGAAATTTTGAGTACTGATGAAACCACTGTTATCTGTCAGCATTAGTGAAGAACTAGGAAAAATAACTGACTTAAAAAAATTACCTTGAATTCAGGGAACACAAGAGGAATTGTCTTTACATTACCCGAGCCACATCCACTAAAATCATTATTTTCAAACCAGAGTAATGGTGTGATTTCAAGGGTTAAAGATGATACAATGACCATTGTCTCTAACTCACAAGATGCCTTCTTCACCCAGAAGAGGTGGAACCCTACCGAAGTCAGTCACAAGGTTCCCAACCTCGAAAACATGATTCAATGTGTCATCTCCAAAACTACTTTCAACACAAAGCAAATGGCAAAGTACAACTTACTTTAATTTAATAAGCAATACTATGTATTGTTGGCTAATGCTGAACTTTACTATTTTCATGTACTTTCAATAATTCATAAAGTTGTACATAATCTTAAGGATAAATCTCAAAAGTAAGGTATCTTGAATGAATTTCTTCTAGATAAAACCACATTACAAAAATGCAATACCCAATCGATTACTTACTTATTCTTTCATTCTACAAACAAATATATATACATACACATGCAACTACAGGTCAAAATAGCTTCAGTTTCTAAAACAGTACCCCTGATAACAAACAGGTAGTTAAAGGTGGAAGGTGGAGCAAGACCAAGTATACAACTCATGTAACTTTCCTTTCAAAATGAACTTTTGAACAACAAACAACTTTCAAAATGAAATGGAAAATTACACTTGGCTGCATTCCATTTTTCCAGTTTTTATTCAGGTATTAAAAATATCAGTCTCCTAAATCACATATTCCCTTCTTGCTGGGTTAAAGTTTAATTTTCTGTTTCTATTAAATTTATCTACATTTTAATAAATTCATTAAATCATTCAATGATGTAAAAAATCCTGCTAGTTTTAAAGACAGATTTATCTGTTTGTATAAGTAAGAGAGTACCTTTTAAGAGTACCTAACACAGCTTCTGCAAGTCAAATTTGGAGGAGGAGCTTAAAAAAGAAAGAATAATTTGGAAGCGAAGGGCAGGAGTTTTCTTATGGCTCTCTGGCTTGCTTTGTAAGTTTGACTTAGAAAATCAATGAAACTGATGACTATTCTTCTGGAAAAGAATATTTTTTAAAAAACGTAGTAAATGATGAACAAAATGTAAAATAGTTCCAAATTTCAAGAGTCACTTCACCAGGGTTGGGGAATCCATGCATTTGATATTTACAGCACTGTCAGGAAAATTTTAATACCTCTTATCATCTACTTCTTTTTTTAATAGGTAACTAAACTGAGTGATGAATAACATATCTGTCAAAGAAAAAAGAAGTCCAAACAGAGGGTTTCAATTACAGAAGAAAGAAGCCCTGGTGTTTCACTCACTCCACCGTACCTGCCATTAACAGTAGTAGATTTGATAATATCTCCAGGTAGAACCACCAAGAGTTCAATGTCTTTATCTGTCATGTTCTCTTTCTGATCCATGATAAAAGCAGAAGATTCTACAGAATCATCAACTGAAGAGGCATCAAGGCATTTGGTCTCAGCTGGAGGAAGTGGAGCCTTGGCTTTTGGTTTTCTCCTAAAACAAAAACAAAACACAAAGAATAAAGTATACATGTTTTAAAAATAACTTGCTAATAGGATCTCATTTAATAAAAACACAAAATGTGTGTATGCTTTTTCACATCCAGGAGAAATGCACTAAAATACTACAACTGTTAGCTTACTAGGGATGGTAGAATTAAAACTTTTTTTTGCCTTTTTAAAAATCAGCGTATTTGTTTGTTTTCAACAATATGTTTGCGTTACTTGGCAATACAAACAAACAGGATAACAGAGAGATTTTATATCGGCCTTCATTAAATTCAATTAATGTGTGTTCACTACAGCAGGCAAAAGTATTGCATTTTGTTTGATGGAATGAATTATCAAATTCTTACTGTCCTAATATCTCATTTCCATACCTCCTACTAGCTCTTACTTTCATGTCTTTCATTCTGCTTTTTTTCTAATGTAGTGTATTCTGCATCTCTATCCATATTAAACTCTACCTATGCTACTAAATCTAGCTGCAACCACCTTCCTCCCACCGCCTACATCAATATGAGGTGGCACATATCTTACATGGCACATACAACAAATTACACAAATGTAATTTTTTTTTTCCATTTTTTCCCCCTGGAAAATTTCATCTCTGCCTACAATTATTACTTTCTGTAAGAAAGAAGTATGCTATATTTCCCACTGGGCTTACTAATGAACAGTGAACTGCGATTGGTTATTTGTTAAATTATATGGAATTTTCCAGGCTAGAATACTGGAGTGGGTTGCCATTTCCTTTTCCAGGGGATCTTCCTGACCCAGAGATGGAACTTGGGTCTCTAGCATTGCAGGTGAAGTCTTTACCAACTGAGCCACGAGGGAAGCCCCCAAAATAAAAAATGTTACAAGTAATTATTCTAATAAATATGTCTCAGTGTCACTTACCAGGACAACCCCTTAACTGATTTATAACAGAAATAGAGATAGACATTCTGCACAAGACCAATTCAATGATTTAAGAGGTTGAAAATAATGAGACATGAAAATAAACATCATATAACTACAAGTACATACACATACTTTCTAAGTACTGCAAATTAGAGCTTTTGAAAATGTTACTTTTTACTTTTTTTATTGAAATATAATCGACATATAAGATAACGGACATATAACATTATGTTGTATCAGGTGTACAACATAGTGATTTGACATTTGCATGTGTTATGAAGTGATCCTAAATCTAGTAACCATCTGTCCCCATACAAGGTTATTATAATATTACTGATCATATTTTTTGTGCTATTAATATATCTTATATCCCTCTGGCTTATTTAAAATTGGAGATTTGTATCTCTTAATTATGGGCTTCCCTGGTGGCTCAGTGGTAAAGAATCCACCTGCCAAGCAGGAGATGCAGGATCAATCCCTGAATCAGGGAATACTCCCTGGAGAAGGAAATGGCAACCCACTCCAATCCTGAGTGGGGAATCCCACGAACAGTGGAGCCTGGAGCGCTACAGTCCACGGGGCCTCAAAAGAGTCAGACATGACTTAGAGACTAAACAACAACAAATCTCTTAATTTCCTTCACCGATTCTTTCCCATCCCCAGACTGATTCTGAAAGAAAAAATACTTCTGCTTTCTATCCATAAAAATATAAATTTTAATTTCTCCCTCTTTCCATTCCTAGGCAAAAACAAAAACCGTAAAGATAAAAGGGCTTCTCTGTAAGTAAATATGTACCATCCAGTCATTCAGTATTTTCAAAACTTAATGTCTCACAAACCTAAGCACCTTTATGAACTCAGCATCATGAAAAAACAGAAACAAGGTTCCTACATTAATTTTCTAAAATAATAGAACTTTAATTTTTAGGAGTATAATTGCAAAGTTATATTACACTTCAGAAAATATTCCTTTTACAATAGTGACAAAAATGAATTTTTAGGAGTATTTCAGTAAATATAACAAGTTTATAAAATTTCTATGAAGAACAACTTTATCCAATTTCCAAATGTTTTTTAATCTATTAAAATCAACTCTGCTCATCTATTCAACAAACATTTACCCTGTAACTGATAATCATGTAGCAGATTCAGCTAAACACTGGGGATGTAAAGACTGTGACAGCCAGAACCAGTTCTCCTACCCCAAAACGGACTGATAGATACATGCAAAATTAGAATAAAGTTTGATGACTCTTCTAATACAGGTATGCGGATGATACAGCTGAAGCTCATAGGAAGAGAAACCTGTGTAGCAATCCAGAAATGTTTGACAGAAGGGAAACATGAGTTGAGTTTGGGGAATGAATAGAAACTCACAGGAAAAGACAAGAAATAATTGATATTTTAGCAGGGAAAAGCAAATCAAACCATGAAAAAAAGTGGTACTTCTCAAACTTGAAGAGTTTGGTAAAATTCCACAGAGAAGTCAAAGGAGAGGAGAAATCAGTAAATCAATGAAAAAGTTTTTATAAATAAGAGAATTCAACAAGGTGGCTTGGCACAATGTGAACACGCCAACATGTTACATAGCCTATGTAAACATAAGCAAAACCTAGTCAAAGTATAATGAACGAGAAAACTTCTTTTACAGTAGCAACAAAAATAAAGTTTAAAAATTATTATAGTAAATACAACAAGAATTTTGCAAAACCTATATGAAGAAAATCTTAAATGCCAAATATTCAGCTTGGCTCTTTCCCTTCGACTCCAGATTTATAAATCCAATGCCTACTTGACATCTGGACTCAGACGACTGACTGGAATCTCCAACTTAACTTACCTTCCAATTCCTCATCGCAGCTCCTCCAAACCAAACAATTTCCTCTCTAGGACTTCCATCTCAGTAAATCATAATTCTTTCAGTTGCTTGGGCTCCAGATCTCCTCTTTCATACACATACAATCCAACAATTCATTGACAAATCCTGCCAGCTCTATATTATAAACAGACCCAGAATCCATCAACAACCTTGACTACTAAATAACTCCGGTCAAGTTGCTCTTGGTCTTCCCATTTCCAACCCTGTCACTTTACACTCTATCCTCAACATAGCAGCTGGAGTGATCCTCTTAAAATGTTAAGTCTGTTCACACAACTTCCTTTCCCACCCTTCGATGGCTTCTGACCTCACCTAAAACAAGATCTAGAGTTTTATAATCTGTCCACCCTTACCCTAGCCTCTCCAAGCTCCTCTCCCACATTCTTCCCAGGCTCACTGCACTCCAGTCCTGTGACTCTTGCCTTTTCCTTGAACACATTCAGGACGGTTCATACTCAGGCGTCTTTAAGGTCTGTCCTGACCTTAAGATAACGCCTCTATTTCTCAGGTTTACTTTTGTCTGAGGGCTTATCAGCAACTAACATACTTACTTATCATGTCTCCTTCCATTAGTAATTAACCCCATGAGTACAGGTTCTTGTTTCCACTGTCGAGGGTCACACATAGCAATACTGCTAATATGTGAAATCTCTAGAGCAATGTCTGCTACATAGCAGGCACTCATATTGCTAAATGAATGAATTCTGTGAATACTTCCCATAAGATGAGGTACCTAAGCATATAATTGAGAAGGAAAAAAGTCATACCACTAAGGTACATCAGAATGAGCTGTGTTGGATTTTAGAAACTGATGATGTTTTATTTTTAAGAAGATGAATACTGAAAAGTATGCAGTAGTTTTATTAGCAAGGGATAACTGAGAACTTTAGGGCTTTAGAGGAGTTACATGAGAAAGGTCAGATGACAGGTCCAGCTCCCTACAGGCACAGAGGTGGAGCATGAACAACAACCTTGGGCACAATGAACCTGGCTTTCAAGAGAAGTGGTACCACAGAAGGTCTAATAGGCACCGCCTTCTACCAGTCACCTCCCCATCTCCTGCTTGCATCTTTGAAGGTACCTTTCCGTCTCCAAGTGTTCCTCCTTCTGCTCTTTGTTTGAATGCCCTCCCTGTTTTCCCTGTATTGACAAATATTATCTATCCTTTGAGCTCCAGATTGAATCACAATTCCTCGTGACATTTTCCCTGTCTATTGCATACTGCAATGAATTCTAACAGTTTTAATGTTCTGTCTAGAAAGAGCAGAACAAAGATTTGTTGAAATATCTTTTACATGGAACATCTATTAAGAACATCTCAGTGTTTCCTATGACTATAATAAAGCATTCATATAATATAATAAGTATATAATAAAATTATATAATTAATATATAAATATTCAACATATTCATATTAAATATAAATATATAATAAATATCACTATATAAATACATAACAATATTTTATATAATAATATAAACAATATATATTATATAATATATAATAAAGCATATTGAGAATCAAACCAAGATCCTTCCACAATGAATCAGAAATCCAACAGGGAAGATGCAATATGTAGGTAATTAAACAACAAGTACAAAGAAAAAAAAAACATTTAACAGGTAACCTTGAAAATTCAGAGCAATGAGAGTAAGCTAAAATCCTCTGTGAGGGTGAGAAGGCAGATATCAAGGTACACTTCAAAGAAAAAAGAAAAATGACTCAGTTTGTGAAAGAAAAGTAGTATATAGGAGGTAAAGGCTGTAGGTTCATCTATGCGTTAGTTCCCAACTGTGATCCAGTTGCATTAAACTCAGGAATGTGTCTATCTAAAGTTTGCTCACTATATCCTGTAGTCTAGTGAAAGGAATACCACACAGAGGCCTGGATTGGGCCTGAATCCTAAGTAGCTTTAAGACTTTGTTAACTTACTTGACCTTTTACTCACCAGCAAAAATTTTTTAAATGCCTTTCACTTACTCACATACTTCCCAATGTTTTAAATGTTTTAGTTGAGATGTTTTGTAGTGATAACACAATTAGATTAAATGTCACCCAAAGCCAACGTATAGTAAAAATAAAATTTTTAGCATAATCTAAGCATAGGAAATTCTGGTAAAGAGAGTAACATATCAACATGCAATAACAACTATCATTTATGGCTTATGAATGCTAGTTTTTATTAATATATTAAAATTACAGTACCATA